ATTCTTTGGCAGACCATGGTGTTTCTTCCAATCTATGACCGCTTCTTTAATCTCGTCCTCATCTCGATCATACTCGAACACAATGGTGTTCTCCTTGGTCACCGGGAAGTAGTGTTTTCGGTATACGTCCTTCACCACCTCTTCCAGTATCCTTGCTCTTATCAATGATCGTTGGACTTGATAAGCTGATAATTCGCGATGGTCGCTGTTCTTGAACTTCTTTTCGTCAATGTGCACGTACGTTTGAGAACCATCCTCATTGTCCTTATAGCAGTACCACTCCTCCTTTCGTTTCCATTGCCTACTCTCGTCTTCGAGATAGGTGATCTCCCCATTCTTGTCGACGTCGAGGACTTCCTTGAACCATACCATTTTCTCGGGGACTTCGGATTCGCCGGACCACCTCGACACCTCGACGACTCACTCATGACTTCGTCGTCATCGCGTTCATGGTAGACAGTTTCGGCTTCTTCCGGTTCCACATGATCGACATCCTTCTTGAAGCTGACCTTTCCCGCAGGAACCGATTGCTTCAAGACTATCACAGGCATAGCGATGGCCTTTCTCACAATTGCTGGTGCTGCGGCCTTGGGAGCAGTCTTCGGCTTGGGTTGCGGTTTGTCCCCTGACGGTGCCGGAGCCGAGTCCTTCTTCTTGATGAGCTCATGCTTGTATTTACAGGAATTACCATTTTCGCACTTTCCTTTCTGGAATGCGTAGCACACTCCATCCTCCTTCTTTGGTGAGGATGACCTGGATTTGGATTTCCCTTTCCCAATCCCTTTGGGCATAGTCTCCAACTTGTGCTCCGTCTTCTTGCTGCATTCACTTCCCTTTATGCATCCCTTCACTGCCTTGAAGTGATACCAGCATGGGTACTCTTTGTCTCCACTCGGACTCTTGCCCCTGTCATTGGTACCCCCGGGACTTGCTTTTCCGCATCCTTGTTGCCTGACTTCATCATCGATTTGACTGACTTCTCGTTCATGTCGAGCATCAGGTCCTCCCGATCCGACTTGATTTGATGGTCAATCAAAGCCAATAGAAATTCGCATGACTCTTGCGGATGTTTGTCCGGCAGCTTGTGATAGGCGTTGAGGCCAAACTCCATCTTCTTGCTCCCCTTGATCTTCCTGTATAGGATGTCTCTCAGTGCCAACGGACTGGGTCTATCCTCGCTCCTCATCTTCAGCAGTAAATCATACCACTTGTTCCTGAACACAACCAGGTTCTTGTCGCCAGGAAAGTCGAGGTTGAATAAGTGCTCGATGTGATAAACAAGGTCTGTCCGATCTGAAGTTCTGAATGATTGCATGACCAATGCCACTAGCTCCCCTTCACGATCACCCCTTGTTGATGTCGTAGTTCCAAATGCCGCGTAGCATCGAGGTATACGTCCTTGGCCTCGTCTGGTGCTTGTCTCAGCCGCCAGAGTCGTTCACGAAATTGAGATCTGGGTTGATCCCCAGAGCCTGAGACAACCGCTTCGTCCATGTATCGGTATCTGGATCCGCACATGCACTCAACACATTCATCAGCAGTTGCATCTTCCAGTTGTCGAGTTGATGGATCCTTGGCCATGGGGGAATGGACATCTTTTCGGCCTCCTTCCTTGATATCCTCGGCCGAGCATCCCTCAATCGCCTACGTTCCTTCCGTGACCGATTGTCATCTCCTTCTTCCTCGTCTTCCTCATTATCATCATCATCCCCCCGTCCTCCTCCACCACCCGTCAGACTCTGGTGACGATGATCTGGGCCATGTTGGTTTCCGCTAGATGAGAATCCATTGTACTCTAATGGAGGCGTATTTTCATTGTTCCCTCCTCCATTACCACCACCACCAATTGTAGTAGATTGTGGGACAAGCCCGACAACCCCTTGCATCTGTGATAGGTGTACATCGATCATTGGATCACCAAAAGATGGAAAGAGAATCGAACCCGGCACTAGTGACGAATTAGGGATTGAATTAGACAATGATGGCGGGACCATCTTCTTGTCTTCCCTAGTCGAATTAAGTTGTGGCCCTTTCTCTGGGCGCTTCACTACTTCTCGTTCACGATGTTCGTCTTTCTTGTTCGAGGCTTCCAGTAGTTCCAGCCTCTTGAATGTCCTGAGTTCCTCATTATCTGCATCGAGTTGATGAACGAAACTCTCTTCCTGCTTAAGCATCGCTTCCCGATCCTTCAGATGTTCATGGAGCTTGTGCATCTCCTCGAAATACTCGTCGTACATTCTCTTGGCTGGTGACTTCCGGAACTCGGCCTCTTTCGACTTCTCGTCCATCGTGCACCGTTCCTCTTGTGTTGCTTCCCTAATCTGGGCCATCTCGAGGATTGCATCTTGACGATGGCTTCCTTCTATAGCAATCATCTGATCCTTCTTGGACACAACGAATTCGTACTGCTTGACGATTTCTTCCTTCTCTCGAAGGAGGCATTCCGCTCTCGTTCTGTTCCGCAAATGCCGTTACGTCATTCAGCCTCGTCATTACTTGCTCCCTGGTGTCCTCCATAGAGTATACCTCGGGATGCTTGACCAGCGCGTTCGCCAGCTGTGATTTCAGGCTTTGGATCATCTCCTCTTCGTTGAACTTCTCGATTGACGTCGACGATTCAATGTCGACGATTCAATCCCCCTGATCTGCTGTTGATACGCGGAAATTTGCTTTGAAACTTCACGATGAATTTGATTCGCATGTCTTGCGGACTCCTGCGCAGCCGTCTTCTCGCTTGCCACATATGATCTCAATACTGCAATTTCGTGTTTCTGCTCCACGATCATTCCCTCAGCTTGTCGCATCTGCTGTATCATAGTGTTCGACTCCATATCCTTTCTCCCCATATTGATACACGTTCATTTCCGCCTCCGCGGCTTCTGCTTCGAACTTGCACCAGGCCTCCGCCATATGATGTTGGTGATGACTCACGAGATGTCCCGATTGCTTGCTGGCAATCTCGCATCGTCTCTCCAGCTCCTGGATCCGGATGAGTCTTCCTGTTGAAGACTGGCCATCGCCGCCGACATTTCGCCTAGAGTCCTTTGGTATTCTCCGATCTCTGATTCCATCTTGTTCATTGATGATGGCGCGAACCTCGGCACCTGTGGACGATTTGGATCTCCCCCCTTTCGATGACGACCTCACGCTCTTCCGCGATGGGGGTCGCGGGCGAAGATGATGATCTCCTTGGTGGAGAATCTCTCTGGTTCGATTCTTGACGAATAGCGACTTGCTTCCATGATTTTGCAGATGTAGACATGTCGTTGCCGGCACCGAACCACCGCTTCCGGATTCGCCCTGTGAATCGGCAACCATATCCATGACTGCAGGAAGAGCCATCAATCCGTTGGATCCCTCTGAACTGTCATTCCCAAAAGTTGCAGTACTTGGGCTCGCTGAAGATTCCATTGTACTGTGTAGGTTATTGTTCTTCTGCAGTTCCTGTACCCGCAAAAAACCAGCTGCCTCCTTGCCCAGTGTAGAGCTTGATTACGGCTGATAACCTGTCAAGAATGCGAGATGACGTCCCGTGGGACGCTGTCCACCAAGCTTCCAGTTGAATGGTACTCAATCACGTGGTGAAGATATACGGCTAAACCGATACAGCCAAACCAGTGGAAAATGTAAGGGCGTTCCTCAATAACCACGCGAGTTCGAGATCTGCAGCGTGATCGCAGCTGTTTCCTCTCTCTCGGATCGAACACAGGTATATGCAAGTCCATGCAAGACCATAAGCCCTACTCAAGCCTTGAGCCAAATGTGGCATCCATGGGAACATTTCAACCAAAGAGAACATGGACCTCAGAACGGCTTCCCAATTTAGGCACGGGGCCAGGAGGGTTTTAACAGCAAGTGACTTGCCAAGCGTTCAAAAACAACGTAGCCACGGCGGGCGTATGGGTAAGAAGGCATGGAAGGCAAGTGAGCTTGTCATTTTGACAGATCCAGTTCACCAGGCTTTAGTCATTCAACAAGTGGGGAGACAAGCGTTGGACAAGCGTTGAGACTTGAGACAAGTGAGCCAACCACCTCGTGACAGATCCAGGTCACCAGGCTCCAGTGCGGAGACAAGTGGGAGACAAGTAAGAAGACAAGCGGGAGACAAGTGAGCCGTGGCAGATTCAAGCCACCACATAAGCAGACACTGGGAGACAAGTGGGGCGAACTTGGCGAACGGCCAAAGACAAATGGGAAGACAAACGAGCTGGTCATCTCTTGACAGATCCAGGGCGCCAGGCTCCAGTAAGGAGACATGTGGGAACCTCCAGTACAGAGACAAGTGGACACAATTCAGGAAACACACGGGCTGATCATCTCGGGAACATACCGCGCATTTCTGCAGCTAGAGCAGGCGAGCGGCATGAAAAGTGAAGTGTTTGCTCAAACCGCTGTCTTGGCTCGGAAGTTCTCGGAAGAGCATAATCAAAGGGAGCTTGGAAGAACTTCTGAGTTACGAACGCCAATTGAAAGCTAGCTTGTAGAAGAGACAGAAGTAGAATGAATGTAGGCATGCCAGAAAAATAGCGCGCGCGCGTGGCGCAGGAAAAGAAATCGCGAAAAAAAGCAACCCTCTGCGATTTGCTCCGTGCCCACGTGGCTGAAAGCGACCTTGTTCGCGGCGCGGTCTCAGAATGGCGGAACGGGTTCGGATCACGCTCAGGTCACGTCCGGATCCGGGATCATTGGAATGGGGCGCCGCGCTGTGTAGCAACGTCGCTTTGCGTGACAGGCGCGGCACTTTCGCAACTTGAGGTACAGGTTCTGTGGCAGGCGCAGCACTTTGGCAAGCTGAGATACGGATTCCGTGGCAGGCGCGGCCGATTCATAACGAAAAAATGAGTACACGAGTAGCACGCGACGCACACTCTTCCAAGGGAACGACAGCAGAGCTTGGCAAAAAGGCAGTGAGAAGCCGCAAGCATCGGCAACCCAAGCAACAAGCTGCGCATTGAATTCTGCGCTGCCCTTTGACCTTTCCGTGCGCACGCACATCTTGCCTTGTCGTCATCATCATTATCATTGTCATGGCGCGTGTCAAAGATCTCGAAAGCCGCGGGCCTGGCTGATTCAAAGAGCACAGCTGGCTTCAGCACAATCGGCCCAACTTGGTCGGTGGCGGGGCAGTCAGTTCATCTGCACCCTGGTCAGCCTCTGGCACCTCAGCTCACTTAGGAGCGGTTTCGAAGAACGCCTTGCCCCTTCTGGCAAGGTGCACTTGGACTGGAACGCGCCTCTGATGCGTCCAACCTGTAGAAGTGCACCTTGGCCTGCCGGTTACGCAAGCCATCTTCATCTGAAGTCCTACAGGCTCAGCCTTCCTACGGCGTCTCTGCTTCCTCTCAACAGCATCTGCGCCTGCATATGTCAGGACCACGGCAGGCAAGGCTACAACTCCTCTAAGGTGTGCACTGGCTTGCGTCATCTTCAAGATTTCGCTGTTCACCTGCTGACAATCGAGTGCCATGAAAGAGGACGCGTGCTTGCCCTCTCCTGAGTGTCGCCGCTAGAAGGCACGCAAATCGTTGCCTCTGTCGGCACATCTGGTTTGCAAGCCCACGATCTAACATGAAAAGACATGGTTATCGAAAAACACACAGGCCGCCCGCAAACGCAGTGAGCCTCCGCCAAGTCTTCGAACACTGCAATGTCAGCCTGCAAAGCTCAGAGTGGTTGCGGCTCTCTCAAGAAGACAGCCAAGGCAAAGCGCCAGTTTAGCTGGTTTCTCCGAGGCTAATGCATTTTCTTTATGATCCAGCCAAAACAGGGCTGGAGCTTGCTTTGCCGTCCGTTGAGCTCGGGGCAGATCTGCTTGTTGGGGTGCAAGCAGGTACCTGCAAAACAGCAAACGTTCTTTGCGCGTGGGACGGCTCATGGCCTGTGCTTTTGTGCTCATCAGCTCTGCCAGGTCTCTCAATAGCTCGTTGCGGAATTGGGACCACTCCTGGACTACAACATGCGTGCATAGCTTGCATATCTGCGTCACAAAATGTTACACAGCAGCAGTCCCACAAAAGCTCTTCCCGCAGCGCCTGCGATTCTTCAGGGACTGACTCAACATCTCAACATGTGGTAAGCTGTTGAATATCACGCTGCTCAATGTCTTGGGGACCGATAGCGACAAGATACCAAGCAGCGTCCGAACATCCAAGCTCAGCCTTGACAGCCTCGTTGACCGACATGGAAGGCCAAACGGCACAATCGATGGCTATGGCAAAGCTTGAACTGCAAAAAGAGTCTATCGGGAATCCGCTCACCACATGGTTAGTTTGGCAGTTGCCAAGTTGATCAACAAAGGGCACATGCAGCTCACTTCCGTTTTCAGGCTTCAAACGGGATATGTGCCTCTGCTCTGAAAAGAACAGACATGCTGTGTCTATTCTGATCTGAAGCGCGTGGCAGCTCACAAAAAAGCTATGTTATGCTCAAACTGTCGCGATTGCATCGCACAAGTACTGGGGTTAAGTTGTAGCATCGTGCGTTAAGTCGTGGCGGTTGAGCGTGTGCCGTTGGGGAAACCATGTATCCGGGCATCAGTTTTGACATTTATCAGCTGTTACTTGAGAGAGTTCGCTTGAGAGGGGCGTGTGCCGTTGGGGAAAGCACGCAGTCAGGCCTCAGTTGCTGAAAATTTCAAAGCTGGTAGTTGAGTTTTTTTGTTTTTTTGCAATCTGAAGATAACACGGATCTAGACGAGGCTTGGCGGCCAGGGGGTGTGAATTTAGGGGTATGGCCCGGGCCCCACGCAAGAAAGCTGAGTCAAAAAAGTAAAGCGGGTCATACCAATCCGCCGACCCCTTGTTTTTAGGGGAGGCGCATGAGAAGGAGAAGAAGCGCACATAGTAGGCAGAGGCCTTGCACAGCTTGTAGGCCTTGCACATAATTTATGCCCTCCGAAGGACCCCGCCAACCGCCCGCCAAATGGCGTAAAAATCCAATGATAAATCGCATCCATTATTGTATAACATGTTTCATGGCCTGGTGCTCCTTATACAATTCCTTTCCTACATGGTCTAGCGGCTAGCGATAAACAGTGCCTACCCCATGAGAAGACATAACTGCTAAATTACATTGATTACAATGGAACAACTCCTTACCATCAAGCATTGTTTTTACGATGTGGCTTTTCTTCATTTTCAAACTCTTCAGGGTACTCCTTCCTCCTGTCGTTATGATATTCTGTCTGCTCGTGTTGATTTTTTCTTACGCAATCGCAATTCATAATTACAGATTCTGTATTGTATGGTAGGTAGGTTCTTTCACCTTCCTTACTCTTTCAATTCCTTCTCTTTTTACAAGTACTACATATTTTGTTAGGTTCAGTGAATTCTTCAACTGCCTTTGATTTATTACATCTTGAACAATGATTGAATACAATTTCCTCCATATATTATTATGCCCTTATTTCTTTAAATGCATTTTTACAACAAATAATTACTCATGTTTCAAATTCTTCTGCCCTCCTCTCTCGTTTCAGCAGTTTTATCATCCAATTTGAATGGGCATGGACGCACTTTGAAAGAGGTAAGCAAATTAGGAAAATATAATAATTATCAAAATGAAAATATGTCATAGAGTAGAAGTATAGTATAATGAAAGGCTGTAAAGCTTTACAATGTTAATTTAAATTATAATCTAATAATATAAACAAACCTTGTAAGTGCCTTTCATGTGCCATCAAATGCAGCAACGCAAATCAGCGGTAAGCAAACGCAAATCAGCGGTAGGCAAACGCAAATCAGCAGTAAGCAAACACAAATCAGCGGTAAGTTGCCTTGGTTTTTGGGTGATGGCACAAAAGAGCAAACCCCAAACCTAAATCCTTGATCCGTCAAACTCACCAAGATTTCACAAATTAATTCGCTAGGTATTTTGTATAAATCGCCCTGCTTATGTTTTATATGATTTTCACTCCATTTTTCCTTAGTGCCTGATGGCAAACGTTGTGCAGTTTCAATATGCTTATTATTCCTGATTTTTCCACAATCCTTTTTACATAAATCTCTAGGTTTCCAAGTTGTAATGTTTTTCCAGAGCCTAGTTCTGTTTCTGTAAGGCATTCCATATTTACAGTCATCTACATCTTTAAAATCAATCTTGTCCATAAACTCCTGCTTTTTCAATAATCCGGTTTGATGATGTTCAATTACAAAATATTTAGGAATAAAATAGTTGATAATCACCATAGTTTTCTAAGACAATACTATTTGCATAATCTATTTTCCATTTCCTCTAGTTTTTGCTACACTGCATTCGGTGCGTGGGGGACTACTCCAAACAAAATTAAAAGTTGTTTCTTTCAAACTGTTTGTAATCCCACTCCAAAATATCTGTGTTGTTGTCAGCATTTTTCAAGTCTAATGATATCACATTAAATCCTAGTTTGGTTGCTATGGTTCCGACACTTTTTGTTCCGCCAAATAATTCTAATAAATTCATATTGTTAGAATTACTTAGATAAAAATTATTCAAGTATTACATATAATATACTCCATCATCATTATTGTAATTTTACACAATTATAAAGTGGGGCTTTTAGGCTGTTTGTGTAAGATTGTCTTGAGGTTTCTTGCTTCTTTCGTGCTTTGCTTTTGTTCCAACAAATATTGAAATACTACAAATTGGGCATTCGTATCTTTGATATTTTCTTATCTCATAATAAAACTTCTTGCGTCGCTCTTTAATTGCATCTTCATTTTGTTTATTGTATTCTCGTTGCTTTTGTAATATAATATCTTTGTTGTTTTGATAATACGCTTTTGACGTTTCTGCTATTTCTTCCTTGTGTTCCTTCTTATACATGTCCCTTGCGGGTTTTACTTTTTCAACATATTATCAAGTTTATACTGTTTGGATCTTCTACATTCAACCTTTTTGTTTAAATCTGGCTTGAGTTCTCTGATTAATTCACCTTCTCGCTATCGTAGTTCTTCTGATGAATTGCAACTATCGTTTTCGAGACGTTCAATATAAAAATGTTCTATACCTAACTCATACATCATAGTTAAAACTTGCATACATTGACGGTGTCTGGCGCTGTATTTACATTGTTTTCTATGTTGCGCCATCCTTTCACTTAACTGTTGTGTTGTGCTTCCTAAGTATGTGCTGTCATTAATTGTGTTTCTAATAATGTAAATTTTGCCATTATTATAATCCTTCTGGTTTGCTATTTTACTCATTGTTGTTTTCTATTGTTTATTATTGCTTTTTCTGTAAATATGTTTTACACACATACATATTTATCCTCCTCATCGTTGATAACTGTAAAAATTCTAAAATATCAGATTAACATATCACAATACTTTTTCCTTTTGGTGTCAAAATCTCCAACAAGTCTGCCAAGTCCTTTCTTCTCAATTTTCTTCTCATTCTTATCCTTCTTTTCGGTGCTTTGTTGTTCGCGTTCAACTGGTTTCATTTTGTCATCAATAGATTTAATCATATCATTTAAGGTCTTGACTTTTGCTACCAATTGATGTTATCTTCTTCATTAAATCGTTAACAGTATAATTCTCATTTTCAGACATTACTATAATTTATTATATATTTAATTGTTTATAAATACAATGTTCGACAAAAATGTAAAGAATAATAATTGAATATGGTATATCTGTGACAAATTCTATTTCTCATCGTTATCAATTCTTCTCCACCTGTAATTTCATCATATTTGAACATTATATCAAAGTTATCTGGGTTAGTAATACCTTTTCATAAAGTACTTTCCTTTACTTTTAGCATTAAACCAATGAAAAATGCAGTAGTTAAGTTTTTAGCAAATTCTGTATCTCCATTAAACGTGTTTTTAATTTCTTCGTCGACCCAATATACTATTCTTCTTCTATCTTCACTATCTACAAATGACGTTATAATAACAGAATTTTATATTTATTTAAACATTTATTTATAGAATTGAGTTAATGTTATATCTACTCTTTAAATACTAACTTGTGCCCCTGTTAAAACTAGCATTAATCAATTGTTCATTCGTTTTAAAAACCATATTGCCACCTGTTTTTCCCAATATTTGAATCTTTATCTGAGCATTTCTAAGAAAACATACAAGGAATACAATTAACCTTCACTCCACCTTTGTTATCTACTGTTAATTCATTTTTAAAATTCATTACGTGATTACATTTATCATATTTTATAGCCTTACTTTCACCCGTTGATTTAACACTTTCTGTTATTTCTTTCCGTGCTTCAATCTTTCTTTGCATTTACTCTTTTTCTTTTGGCATTTGTATTAATATTTACATTTTATGTTTGATACATTGAATTCCTAACTTAGATAATTCTAATGAATAATAACAACATATTCAAATTTTATTATCAGTTATTATTACTTGTTCTACTCTCTCTACTTCATCTATTATATTAATAAAATATGAATAACTTCTATTCATATAACATAATAAGATAAATTATGTCTTCATTTCTTTCTTTTCTTTGCTAGTTGTTTCATTGTATCGTCTTTGTTCCATCTATATTCAACAATTTTCTGATGATGTATTGAATTTAGATGTTTAAATAAATATTTGCAATCATAAGTGTTACCACAACTGCAATGGACAATAGTCATATAAATAATAAGAAAAACTTGTTTAATTAATCTTATTGTGTTAGAACATTCGGGGCTCAGCACTGGGGTTTTCTTCACACTGTATCAAACTAGGTAGCTTCAATGCTTATTGATTGAAGCAATGGAAAGCCTGTTCCATTTTACGAAATTCACTACCAGCATATCATAAAAAGATGTTCCATTTGATGTAAGTTACAAGTTAATGTTGAATAAAATTTAAAAACTAAGTTAATGAAACGTTAACAAAATTAAGTTTTATCAAACATTTTTCTAAATATCTTTAATACTGCTCTTATTATGCCTGATAATTCACCACCAAAAAACAATAAATGTTAGACAGTATGAGTTAAAGAAACCTACTTATAATAAAGCGGATAAACTGTCTTTTCGTAGTATTGTTTGCTCATCCAGTCAAGGAGGTAAAGGTATTTGAATACAGAACCTCGTATTAAAAGTATATCGCAACTGCTTTGAACGAGTATACATTGTTTCTCCAACAGCAACAATTGATGAAGCGTATAGAGACATTATTCAAAATGTAGAAACTGGATTAAAAAAATATAATAATAAAGAACAATATGTATTTGATGAATATAACCCAGAAGCATTACAAAATATACTTGATACACAACATAAAACTATAGAGTATCAA